AACCAACGTTAACTACGTGGGAATCCAGGGACATAGCCATTATGCTAACTGCTGGTCCCAATCCCTTAGAATTTGGGGCATGATGGACATGCACCTTACGTGATTTTCAAGCCACCAGGTCTGGGACTTGAATCTCAGTTGTCCATGTGGAAGTCCACTTCCTTAGCCACCATGCCACTTGCTAGCCCCTTCTTGCTGTTTTATACATATACATGAATGCTCTGTTTGATCCAATGAAAAGTTCCTGTACTTCTGTGGTGTTTTACAGGCATAACTTTAACCAGATTGATTTCTCACTTCAGTAGAAAAATACTTACATGAACTGACAAAAATATTTTTATTATAATAGATTCGAGAGCACCATCGAAAATTGAGGAAAGAAGCTAAAAAACGGGGTCATAAGAAGCCTAAGAAAGACCCAGGAGTTCCAAACAGTGCTCCCTTTAAGGAGGCTCTTCTTCGGGAAGCTGAGCTGAGAAAACAGCGGGTAAGTTATGTTAGCATGTACTTTCAGTAAGTGGTGTAAGGTGGGTATGTGTTTTCAAAGTAAAGTAAAAACACTAGCCACTGGATCATCCATGTCTCTTATGGCCTGGACACAGCTTGAAGAACTCAAACAGCAGCAGAAACTCAACAGGCAGAAGGAACAAGAAAAGAAAAGAAAAGTTGAAGCTAACCCTGATGTTAAGCCATCTGATGTGGAACCTGTGAAGGAGGTATGATTGGGTCTCTAAATTAGAAATGAGTCTGTATGTAGAAAGTGAAGTACATCCACAGGACAGAGGCTGCTAACCCTCTTGGAAGGGGAAAAAAAGGAACTGGCACTCTTAATATACCATCTGTAGTCCCCGAAATTAGCTGTAGGAAATGGAGATACATATGACAACTGCTGCTTATACTTCTAATTTCATGTCTTTTCCTTCCTTTCTTTATCCTCTAGGAATCCGAGCAGTGCAAAACTAACAACAGAACCAAGTCTGTTAAACAGAGCCCAAAGAAGTTATATTGTCAGGAACTTAAAAAGGTATCTTAGTCTAGGTTAGTGTCTAAAAACGGTATAACGAGGTTTTTGAAAGACTAGTGTTTTCCCCTGGCCCAACACCCACCTTGTAAAGGTGGAAATAGAGTTCACTGGAGCTGGAAGACTCCTTTAGCAAGTTAGCTTATTGTATTTTAAGCTTTTCTTATTATGATTAGATGATGGGATACTATCTTCCATTTTAAACCTGTGCACTGTTGCCCGTAACCACGATTTATAAAAGCGGCTTTTGGTGTTAAAGTAACAAGTTGACATGGTTAAAAAAAATTTTTTTAATAGAAGAAAAGACACTAGCATGTAAGCAGTGTGAAAATAAGGATCTTTTAGAGTAGTCTACTGAACTAAGTGAAGGAAGCCAAGAGCCGTGGTGTATTTGCTCCTCGACATTCCCATCCCTGGCACCCATTCTTCCAAGCTCACTTGTTTACTGGGGATTAAACCTGTCTCTCAGCAGTTCTTGGCAAGGCCAAAAGAGCTATCAAACTACTTATGTTCAAACATCCTGGTATTTCTGCTTTTGAAGTGCACATTGATCAGAAGCTGCTGAGCATGTGTTTTACTCTTGTGTGAGAAATGATGAACATATCAACGTTCTTCATAACAAAGTGAAAATGTGAGCTCCCAGTCTGAGCTCACCTCGGGGCCAGGTGGATACCGCCAGTATACTCGCATTGAGGTTGCTCCTAGAGCAAGGGGTGATGATAGGATCCTTTCTTGTTTGACAGGTGATTGAAGCCTCAGATGTCGTGTTAGAGGTACTGGATGCCAGAGATCCTCTTGGTTGCAGATGTCCTCAGGTAGAAGAAGCCATTGTCCAGAGTGGACAGAAAAAGTTAATACTTGTATTAAATAAATCAGGTGAGCAAAAGAGATACTGTTTGTCTTCCATATGCACTAGTGAGGTATGAGGAAGACATCTGAACAGTCTGATGACACTGAAGACTGATAAGATCCAACTCTGACCTCAGCAAAGCCAGAGCATGTATGCTCAGGTTGCCAAAACAGTGCTGGGCAGTGGGGAGGTGGTGGTTTCTGCAAGAATTTTGACTGGTTTCTTCTGTTTGCCATGCAATACTTAACCCTTTATCTTATTGAAGACCACAAGCTTCTATACCCAGGTAGTACGCTAGTATGCAGTATATCTCATGTAGGTAGTGTTAGCAGTGTGCCAAGTTCCACATACCTGCAGTATTTTCAGGTGTGTGATATATTAGTATGTGACATAATATTTAAGTAAAATGCATTATCTGTCTGAAATTTGAGCAGGAAGAACAAGATAACCCAGAGCAGAGATGAACAAAGTAGATGTCAGGAACAGGATCTAACATTATTTTTGGGTTAGAAAACAAAGGGCTGCTGAAAGCAAAGCTGTGAGATTACTAGGGTTGTAATCCAGAGGTTGACTCAGTTCTGACAGGGTGAGCAGTGGGGGGGAACTGAAATACTAAAGTGTGGATATAGTTTCCCCTTCCACCTAGTCCAGTGAAATCCTTCTGAGAAGGGGGGGGGAACCTAGAAAAAGCCAAAGCACAGTGACAGCTATAGTTTATCAGATTTTGCAAATTCATCTCAAGAAAATGACCATATGGAAGCATGTGTCTTATTCCTGTCAGATCTGGTACCGAGAGAGAATTTGGAGAGCTGGCTAAATTATTTGAAGAAAGAATTGCCAACAGTGGTATTCAGAGCTTCGACACATCAGAAGGACAAAAGGAGTAAAACCAAGGTACTGTACCTTTACTGCTAGTGGTGGGAAACGTGGTCCTTCCTGATATTGAATATAGTTGAAATATGATGAGTGTACAAAATTTGATGTAAAAAATGAAAAATGTTAAGATCCAACTCTGATTTCAACTCAGGTTCATCTTAAAAGCTGGGCTTTGTAGTCAGATTGGTTAAGTTTTCTTGATGAGTGGCAGAATAATAAGTTAGACTAATTATTTGGAATTTTAACACACGAAGGTAATGAAGAAAGCTGCTCCATTTAAGAGTAAAGTCTGCTTTGGAAAAGAAGGACTTTGGAAACTTCTAGGAGGTTTTCAGGAGACATCTGGCAAATCTATTCAGGTTGGAGTAATTGGTAAGTTTTAGTTCATTACGGTTGTGTCAAAATACTTGACTAAGAATTCTTCTGGGTTAAATGACAGGGTATGGTGGTGGTGGTGTCTGAAATAAAAGGCTTACTCAAACATCAGCATCATGCCCACCTTGTCAAACACATGCAGTTTGAAGGAAAGAAACTAATTAAAATATTTGCTGCCAGTTTCATATCTTTGTTAGGAGAGGGCACTGCTGGAGGTTAACTTTTATAATGTTTTGGTTTGTTTAGTCGTCTCCCTGTCCTTTATTACCTGTGCAAGAAATGATGCTAACTAAGATTGGTCTTAGTGTTGAAGTGAAGACGCTCAGATCCAACTCTGATCTTGCTTTAAGTTTCCTGAAAACAAATGCTACAGAGAAAATTGTGTCATTATCAGCACATAATGCCTATGTCTGGATTTCTGTTCATTTGTAGGTTTCCCAAATGTGGGGAAAAGCAGCATCATCAATAGCTTAAAACAAGAAAGGATATGCACCGTTGGTGTATCCATGGGACTTACAAGGTAAACTGAGCTATTTCATAACTGGAGTTATCTTGTTAATAGTAAATATTTTATCTTGGTTATCTCGAAGGACTTTTCTATTTAAAGCTTTTTTTTTTTTATCACTTATTTAAAGAAAGCCCAAGAGAGTAAAGCAGTGCTATGCTTGGGGAAGAATTAGCCACAATCTAGTTGAACTGCCCACAATTCAGATAGAGGAAAGCTACACCAGGAAGTGATGTTTGAGTCTGGCCTTGAGAGATGAATGGAAGTTTCCTAGGTAGAAGGGATATTAATGGCAGAAGGAACCGCACATGCTTAGGTAGATAGATAGACAGGCAGCAACGAGTAGTGTTTCCCTTTAGGAGCATCTTTGATTAAACATGAAGCAAATGATGATAAACTGGATCTGACTGACTGTGCTGAGTTTGTTCAATCCAACCCTGAGCTTCATGTTCTTTGTCTTGCCCTCGAAAGAAAACAGTGCCCTCCCATCAATTGTTTTTTTCTTTTCAGGAGCATGCAGGTTGTCCCCTTGGACAAACAGATTACAGTCATAGACAGCCCATGCCTCATTGTCTCTCCACTGAACTCCTCCGCTGCACTTGCTCTGCGAAGTCCAGCAAGTATTGAAGCAGTAAGGCCAGTAGAGGCTGCTAGTGCCATCCTTTCCCAGGCTGACACTCGACAGGTACAAGAACCCCTGCCCTCGAACTCTGCCACCGTTTTCTCTTTTCGTCATAAGCAGTTTAAGCAGAAAATGTTCAAGTTTTTTTTACATTTGCTTTGTTACAGGTAGTACTGAAATACAATGTCCCAGACTATAAGAATTCACTGGAGTTTCTCACTATGCTTGCTCAGAGAAGAGGTCTGCACCAAAAAGGGGGAAGCCCAAATGTTGAACGTGCTGCTAAACTGCTATGGTCTGAGTGGACAGGGTAAGGCTTCTTTATGTTGACATTTTGGGACCACAGAATGAAGGAACTGGGTTTTGACAGATCTTGGTTTTAATTTTAGTGCCTCTTTAGGTTACTATTGCCATGCCCCCACATCCTGGACTCCTCCTCCACATCTTAATGAGAGCATCATGGCAGACATGAAATGGGGCTTTAATCTGGAAGAACTGGAAAAAAACAACGCACACAGCATACAAGGTGAGTGAGACTGTCAGTGCTCTCGTCACTGGCTGATAAGGACTGTATCCATTTACTTGGACTTACTTTCTTTCCTAGCCATCAGAGGTCCTCGTTTAGCCAATAGCATCCTTTTCCAGTCCCTGGGTCTGACAAACGGGGTAACAGAGGAAAAGGATATACCTAAAGGATTGCCAAAACCAAAACAGAAGAAACAGGAGGAAAAGGAGGAGGACGAAGACATGAACAGTGACCAGGAAAGTGTGGATGCAGAAGTGGACGTAAGTATACTCTTCATGAGTTATTTGAAGCTGAAGTGAGTTTTCCAACACTTTAATGTATAATGAATGGGAAGGTGCTGAAGGTAGAAGTTAAATATTTTATAATTGATTGGAATAAGTTGCATACAGTTCAGGTATTTGAGGCTTATGATCATTGGCCTTAATTTTGTGCCTCCCCTTATATGTACAGGAGGTATTGTCCCCACACACACACACACACCCAACGGGGGTGTATTTCATGACCTCCAGTGGATGCCTGAAACCTCAGATGGTATTAAATCCTATTTGTGTTTAGGTTTTTCCTATATGCACATACCTAGGTGAAGTTTAATTTTGTAGACTTGTTTTCAGGTTTATAATTTCTTAGATACATGAGCAGAAAAGGGTTGCTAATCCAATGCCATCTCTCTCTGTCCTGTAGGAGAGGGCTTCAAACACATCCCCTGCAGAAGAGACGTGGGTGGCACAGCCTGAAGAGTCCGTACCAGGTGAGTCTAGGAGTTTTTCTAACGACGCAGCTTAATGTAGAATCACATATTTTCTTAAATAAACAAATAAAACCTTGCTTTATATTTTCCTATGTAGGTAACCAGTCTGGAAGATCTTTTATCTTGGATAAAGTGACTGAAGAGGATGATGTTTATGACTTTAGTACAGATTATGTGTAACACAACCATGTCCACTTATAAAGGGTATTTAACATTTTAAACAGACTGCTACTGTTAAACTGTCCTATGTGTATAACATAGTTGTTTGTTACAGTATGATAAAAGCTATGTGAATTCTGTAAATACATATCCATGGTGTCATTAAAACAGGCAATTTACAGTGTGTGCAGATTCTATAAAAAAGACTCACCTCTATAGTGCAAGAAGAACGGTATCAAGTATATAATTATCTGGAAATAAAAAATGAGCTACTAGAAAATGTGGTTTTATTTAAAGATCAGGCCACAAGTTACAAAATTAGATCCAAACAGCAGTCTTGAACTAGCTGCACCAGCCACCTGGACTGGCACTAGCTATGTCAGTGCAGCGGTTCATTCTGGCCATTCGGCATTGGAGTAAGACACTCTGTGAGGCAGGTGCAGACACATTTATGGTCTATCTGGGAGGCTGACTTCCAGACAGACCAGTCTGTCATCTTTGCCCAACTGAAACACACTTTTTTTTTTTTTCCAACTGAAACACTTGTTCCATGGGTTGCTGCAGGTAGACATTGAAGCCTAGCAACTGTTACTTCCCACACATACTGTTTCCAGGATTTCCTGAGAAATGTTTTTTAAATGGCTGAGTGCAGTGCTCACCAGAGAGAGAACAACCCCTCCTGGTGTTGCTTTATCTCTGTTTTCTCACTTCTCTATCCCTTTAAGATTCTCTGTACATGGGCGCCCAGAATGTTACTCAAGATACCAGGGCAGGGATTCAAACGTCAGTTGTCCATGAGATCCTGCTTTCTAGGCGCAGTACCTAACTGCTGTGCTACAGGGCTGTCCTGAGAAATATTTGGTTTAAATTCTGTTTTACTTTATGTTTGAAATCTCTGTGTGTCTTCGGAGTAGGCTGAATTTGCCTGTTGGATCTGGAATATACCACTTTTCCCAAACATCAATATAAGCAGCAGTTCTTCCCCATGGCTTAAAGTGTCCATTCCAATGGAGTAACTTGGCAGCCTTTACAAACTGAGGTGAATATCGTTTTCCAGCACTGGAACCTTAAAATTGAGGGGAAAAGAGCCCAATGACATTACTAGTCAAACACTATGCCAAGCCAAAATGCAAGGGAAACTGGATATATCCCATAATTCCTCACTAGCGTAGGCAACTGGTTGGTTACTTCTCCTTACCAAGGTGGCGGACGTTCCACATGGGGTCAATGGTGGAGTGCTGCTGGTAAAATACGATGAGCAGAGGAGGTGTTGTGACGCTGCCAGCCAGGGTTCTGCTGTACAGGCCCTCTCTTGGTGGGACAAATAACAAATGTTAGTGAAGAATAATGACTGACTCCTGTCAGTCAAGACAGGGTTGAAATGTCAAGTTTCCATAGCTGGGCGGTTATATATACTTACTCTACGTTGAGTTTCATCCATTTTTCCAGCTGGTTAGTTATATTCTGTCGTTTCCATTCTGTCAGGTTTGCGACAAAAACGCCAGGATTGAACGAGCAGGTACTGGCTTTCATGGAAAGCTTACGAATTCTTTCCTTTTTATAGTCAAGGTAGCCAATATAATTGTACTAAAAACACAAATGGGATAAGTGTTTAATACTTCAAATGAAATAGTTTTATAGCCAGTAAAGAAAAAACCTGCGTGTTAAACTACTACTTCCCAGATTAACAAAGGTGATATTTTAAATTCCAAGTTAGAATAGGAACCTAGATTTTGAACTATTAAACCACATTTTCTTTTTTTGTTTTTAATAATTTTATTTGGGACTGGCAAGTGGCATGGTGGTTAAGGGTGCTAGACTCCCACATGGTTGACCATGGTTCAAGTCCTGGACCTGGAGGCTTGCTTTCTCTCTGTCCCTCTCTGGTCAAATTAAAAACAAATAAAGTTGGGAACCAGCAGTTAGCGTAATGACTATGTCGCTGGACTCCCACGTAGTTGACCGCGGTTCGCGTCCCGGACCCGGTGGCTTAAAACTCACGCCAGGCGCGTGTGCGTGCGTGCCCAAGATCCCGAGAGGAGAATGGAGGAGAAGGGATTGCGGCGTGACCATCCCCCCTGGGAGGTGATTTCTCGCTTTTTGTCTCTATGTCTCTCTCTGTCTGTCTGGCGAGCGCAACGCACCCTATAGCAAAAACCTCTCAAAAATAAATAAATAAATAAATAAAGTTAAATTAAAAAAAAAAGAGAATTATTTTACTTAACTTTTTGCCCAGAGGGGGACAGAGAGAAAACAAGCCATCCATCAGGTCCAGGACTTGAACCATGGTTGGCCAAGTGGGAGTCCAGCACTCTTAACCATGCCACCTGTTGGTCCCTACACATTTTCAAGAAGTAGGTTGGTCCAGTCTTATAAACAAATCTACAGAAAAGTAGGCTTCAGTCTTGAGATGTCATAGTTGGGGAATGTAGTGTTTCCTGAATCTGCCACTTTCTACTACTATATATTATGGAGAACACAATGTCTAGTGAGCCAAATTACCTGGTTCCCGGCTCCACGGATGACAACTTTGGTAGAGGTTGAATCACAGTCTTCTGAAAATGCAGCTGCATGTCCCGGTTTTAGTGGTGTATTGTAAAGGGCAAGGATATCACCTGAAATAGGTAAGCTACTAAGCTTTCCATTTCTGGTTGCTGTGAAGAGTTCCTGTTCCTCCCACTTTTCCCTATGGTGACCGTTTACAGGAGATCATGAAAAAGACAACCACTACAGCCCGCAATCTGGATAGAGACCAGCACTCATGGTGATAGTCTTTGATACCTTGCACAATTACATCATCGTCCATGTATATGGCCTTCTTAGCACTGGGAGCCAGAATTGGCAAATAAAACCTTGCAAAGGTTAACTGAAAAGGAAAAGAAGCATTGGCATAAGATATGGCAGTGGCTGTGCTTAAAAGCAAACTTATAGAATGCTCTCAGTACCCATGCAGGAGAAGACAGCCCAAGGACTCCACAGAAATGCCCAAGCTTGGTCCCTTGGAACTTGTGCATTGTACCCAGTTACCCAAGTGTCTCATTTTCCACACACTCAGGTACAAACAAGGATGCATGAACTCACTGGTTTCATGGATTCCCCTTGGCCAGGATCCTCCTTTACTTTCCCTTCCAAAAGTTTAGTGTCAAAATTCACAATTTTATACCTGATGTTTTTCAGGGAACCACTGTTGAGCCAGGACCTGAGCAAGATAAAGCACCAAATTTCAGTTCTACACAGTCCTACACAGTCCCATCTCCTCATCATAGCTTATCTTTGTGCCTTCCTCATGAAGGCGTGACATAAGCAATACTGTAGAGGACTGAATGTTTTCAATCTCCTTTATCTCTGAACCCTGGCTTTCTCAAAAAGTTCATGGAGAACTGGGATTATTTGGGTGCAAGATTTTGAAATCTGCAGTTTTTTCCATAATACACACTTTCCACGAGCTTTCTGAAAAGCCCTTACATTCCCACAAAAGACCCTACTTGAAACAAGATTGTATTGCAATTTTTTTAGATTTATTTAATTTTATTTGTTCGTTTGTTTTCACTTGACCAGATAAAGACACACACACACACACAGAAAGAGAGAGGGAAAGTGAGAAAGTAAGCCACCAGGTCCAGGACTCCAACCATGGTTGACCATGTGGGAGTGTCCAGCGCCTTACCCATCACACCACCTGCTGGTCCAATCTATAGCAATTTTCTAACACTAAAACTATTATAGAGAAACTATGAAATGGAGACTATCCCATCACCACATACATTAATTAAGAAAATGAGTCAAGTATGATGGTAGTGAAAGCTAATTAGCAGCAAGACTAGAAATTATTAACAATAGATTGATTTACTAATTCACTGTAATGATCCTAAATAATTCCTCCACCCATGTCTGAGGCACTCACTGCATGTAAGAAAAGCCAGTGAAGGTACTCCGTTTTTCTAGGTCCATTTCAAATCAGCATTTTGTCGATACTTAAAATTATTCTGTAATCTAATGCAGTATCTACTTCTGCATTTTAGATGGTTCTGAGTTTTTAGAATACATGAAAATCACACTAACTTTCACAAAATAAACCGTGGAGAACGCCATAGGATAAATGTGTTTTAGAACTCTTAGTCTATTAGATAAGCTGTTCCTTAGAATAAACTGAACATCTTAATTTTAAAATCAATGGATGAAATTATTCATCAGATTGCATATTTGGTCTTTTCTAACAAAACTAAGGACCTTTTACTGAGTGCTTACTATGTACTAGGTGTTTTAGATTTTTCTTCTTTACTTGGCATAATCCTATAGATAGGACTTTTTCTACCCTGTAATTATAGATAAGGAAATGGGCTCCAGTGTTCTCCAAGTAACTGGCCACATGAGTCAGGATCTGTGCTCACAACTTCCCCACACTATTCTGCCACTGTTCCCAAGTCTCTTCCCACTCGACCCTATTGCTCGGAGCAAGTCCATGAGGTAAGGAAATTGCAACTGGAAAATCAACATGCCACATTCACTGGGAAAATCCTTTTACCAAAAAGAGTTATCAGGTGGAGCTAACTGCATAGTAAACAATTGATCTATTTCCTGGCATAAGCTCCTTATGTCACTTCTGGAGTCATGGAGACAGTTTATGATGTAATCACATGGAAAAGCATGTCACATGCAGCTTTTATATGGTGAAATAATCTCCCCCCACACACACACACTGAAAAAACTACTGGATTAGCAGCTGGCCTGCTCTACTTCTAGAAGCAGCATCATCAGCCGAGCAAAGCTTACCGGAGATGGTCGGCTGTGTTGTTGAGTGTAACGATGTAGAAAACCACATCAGACTGAGTGTTGTGCTGAATACTGTTTATAGCTGCAATGGTCCCCCCGAGCCTGTCTTCAGATGCAGCAATGACCACGGGAATCTCCTCTTGTCTCCCACTTACTGCACGTCGGGGGACATTTGGGATGAAGTCTATGGGCTGAAGCCCGACAATTTCTGAATCTGGAAAGCACAACACAAGGGTGGCATGAAACACAATCTCCCGAGCTTTTAATTACAGTAGGGTCCCGAGACATGGGAAGAGGTGAGGATTAGAGTACCAGTTTATCTCATTCTCCATTAAATAGATGCACACAGCCCAGATGCGACCAAGCTTTCAGAAAAGTGAAAAGGACATTTTTTAGAGAATTATTTTATTGAACTTTATGTATTTATTTATTTAATTTTGACAAGAGACGGACACAGAGAGAGAAAGTAAGAAAGCAAGTCACCGGGGTGGGGGGGCACTTGAACTGCAGTTGGTCATGTGGGAGTCCAGTACTCTTTACCACCACCACCTGCCAGCCCTGAAAAAGGCATTTTTAAAAATAGGCTGAATGGTCCAGCCGGTGGCATAGTGGTGTAGACAGCCGGATTCCCAAATGGTCAACTGCAGTTCAAGTCCCAGATTTGGGAGCTTGGAAATCACACTGGACTCATGTATATGTTTACCCAAAGTCCTGAGAGGAGAAGAGAGAAGGGGTTGGGTTCTCACTTTCCATCTCTCTGCTCTGGCAAGCACATGTGCCCTATGGCAAACCCAGAACCTTCTCCCACGGGTCAGCCGCAGAGGTCACATTTTACTAATGTGCCACTGTCCAGCCTCCCAACAGAGTGAGTTTTCGTGAGTTTATTCATGATGATGTGTGCACATGCCCACATGAGAAAAAGAAAAGCACCCTCGACGAAGTCTTGTCTTGCTGTGATCTCCCTCTCTCCTAACTCATCAGGATCTTGGGACGTGTGCATGCACCCGTGTGCATGTACTTCTGGTTGACTAGGCTACTAACTGCATCACCAAGCCTGGACCTAAAGTAAGTGTGTCTTTGGACCCAGCAGTTAGCGTAATGGCTATGTCGCTGGGACTCCCACGCAGTCGACTGCGGTTCGCGTCCTGGACCCGGTGGCTTAAAACTCACGCCGGGCACGTGTGCGTGCGTGCCCAAGATCCCAAGAGGAGAATGGAGGAGAAGGGATTGTGGCATGACCATCCCCCCTGGGGGGTGATTTCTTGCTTTCTGTCTCTATGTCTCTCTGTCTGGCGAGCGCACGTGCCCTATAGCGAAAATCTCTCCAAAAAACAAAATAAAGTAAGTGTGTCTTTTGTTTTATTTATTTATTTTTAAATCAGTTGACAAGTCTTTATGACTGTTTTATTCCTAGAGTCTGTTGATGCAGTTGTACAAGTTAGAGGAAAGTAATCGGGAAGAAATTATCCAGACTGGCTAAGGAAGTATCAGTGACCACAGCAGGGAAGAACACCAGGGAAACTTGCCTGCCCCTCATCTTCTGAAGCCCTGCTGAAATGTGAGCAGATGGCAGCCCACAGGGGTCCTCTTAGGCCTCTGATTTGGCGAAAAAGAAATATCCATTCTGCCAGATCAAGCCCTTAGCAAATGTTTTCACTGCAGAAGTGGGTAGCACCACAAGGGCACAATGAGGACCCACCATGCCTCTTCCCAGAGCCTTTTGTAGTTTTGTAAAGAAGTAAACTTTAACAAGGGATATAAGTTAGGATGTGGAACACAGAAAACTCCAGGCCCTCGGCAGATTCCAAGGCAGTAGTAAGGGTTCCCATACCTGAAACTTCATTCCTTAGCAAGCTGCTCAGGCTGAGGAAGTTATGATGCAAAACCAGTAAAAAGAGAACAACAGCCAGGACCAAGATGATGATGTTTACTGAAAGACACGGGGAAAGTCTGCATTACATCTCCTTACCTTTGACGAAGAATAAAAGCTACGTATCTTCAGGAAGAGCATACCTTTACGGAATGACATCTTACTCTTCTGTCTTATATGAATATTAGTTGTTGCTAACCCTACAAAAAAAAAAAAAAGCCCTCAAAATCAGCAAGTACATGAGAATGGTCTTCAAAATGCCTAAACACTTTAATTCAGGTAGAATCAAGACAGAGAGATGGTATTCTGCCAGAAATTCTTTTATTTATTTATTTATTTATTTATTTTAAGGTTTTTGTCATAGGGCATGTGTCCTTGCCAGAGAGAGAAAGTGGGAGGGAAAGTGAGAAATCACCCCCTGGAGGGATGGCCACGCTACAATCTCTTCTCTATTCTCCTGGGATTTGGTGTGTGTGTGCGCACACACGCACACACACACATGCCCAACATGATTTCAAGCTACTAGGTCTGGGACTTGAACAGGGGTCAGCCATGTAGGAGTCCAGTGCCATAACCACTATGCCACCTACTAGCCCCAGAATTCATTTTACCTTAACAAAAGGGATTAAAATTATTGAAATTGCAGGGTTTTCTGAATGTTTAATTGTAGGTGCATATATATATATATATATATATATATATATATATGTGTGTGTATGTATATAAATATTATATAAATATACATACATATTATATAAATATACACACACATACATATATATATACCCCACACACGCTATTACATATATATACACAAACTATATATGTATACATATATTTTTAGTAGGCATATATATATACATATTTTATATATGTGTATACACACACACGTGTGTGTGTATATATTTTTTAAGAGAGATTTTTGCTATAGGGCGTGTACACTCACTAGAAAGAGAGACAGAAAGTAAGAAATCACCCCCAGAGAGGATGGTCCTACAATCCCTTCTCCATTCTCCCTTCAGGGTCTTGGGCACATAGGCACACACACCTGGTATGAGTTTAAGCCACCGGGTCTGAGACTCGAACTGTGGTCGACTACATGTGAGCCCAGCAACGTAACCCTTATGCATCTGCTATTCCCTAGTGGGTATATTTTTTTGTTACATTGGACAACTGTGTCTGGTAATACTCAGTTGTTTACTATGACTAGTTTTCGTTGAGAAATGATAGATTAAACCCTTCACATTCCTGTGAAGCTTTCACTCATGAAAACAAGATAAAAAATCCTACACTCTCAAATCCAGGGCAGGCATACCAAGAAACAAGAAAGAAATCTCAGGAGGAAAGAACAAGTTATTTTACCTTTCTAGCTACCTGCATGTATAGCCACGTTCTCAGCAGCTGTGCCATGTTTTCTGTTTCCTCTCCTGACGCCATAGACCAACTACTATAGACCCAGTACTCCCAGGAATGGCCGCTCCACTGATGCTCTGTAATCTAGCTGTTTGCCTGGAGCAACATCACCACCTTCTTGCTGTCTGCTGGATCACTCCCATCAGCATCTTGCATTCATGCATGCATGTGTCTATCCTGCATGCATACGTCTCTCCAAATACACTTCATAGGATGGCAGGAGAGCAGAGCAGTGAGAGCATCCTCCAGTTTAAAAATATAAGAAAAAAAGACAACACTCTCCCGCTCCAGTTGACCCAAAGACCCTTTCCTGTGCTCTCCCTCTGTAAAAGTCTGAATTTAAAGTCTCTAGCTCCACCTCCTCTCCTCCCATTTAGTCTCCTTCAACGGACTTCTGGTCCTACATTCAGACTGCTCTCGGGGAGGACACCAAAGACCAAGGCCGTCCCTCTCTCCTCCCCTTACCCTTTCTGAGGCCCTCAGGAATGTGTACTACTTCCAATCATTTCATTTATGTCTTTCCTCACTAGAATGTAAGCTCTGTGAAAACAAGGACCTCACTGAAAACATTTACTGTGGTATCCCTGCCACCTAGGACCACATCTGGCAAATGGTAGTATACATGGGCTATTTGTCAAATGATCTAGGAGCAAGGCTAGTGCTGGGCTTGGAAAGGGAACGCAATCTTCGGTAATATTCATGAAAACCAAGTCCAACATAAGGAGAAACATGGGCTCCAATGGTGCTCTCTCAAAGGGAACCATTTGCAACTTTTCCCCATCTCTTTTTATAAAGAATTATTTTTTTAAGAATTATTATTTTTTTAATTCTTTTTTTAAAGAATTATTTAACTTTATTTATTTATTTATTTTAATTTGACCAGGGAAGGAAAGAGCAGGAGAGTGAGGGAGCAGGAAATTGAGAAAGCAAGGTCTGGGACTTGAACCGTAGCCCCATTTCCCCATCTCTTTACAGCTCAAACACCAAAAAGTCTGCTGCTGCTGCAGCCCTATCAAGTGCACTTGGAGAGACACAACACGGGGGTGGGGGTCGGGGGTGGGGAGGGTATGTCCATTTATACACAGGACAGGAAGGCTGTTCCAACGGACCCCAAAATACACCGCGTGACAAGGACCCCAGTATAAGCTCTTGCTCATTCCTTCTGAGTTCAGAAAGGAGCCAAAGGTACCTGTATTTTACTGTCCGGCCTCTGCCGCGCTGAAAGGTGAAAAGTCACTGAGCCTACACTCACTTTTTCCTACCTCTTCAACTGGCTAGCTCCCATTTGGCTTTCAGGAGTCTATGGTGCCTCCCCTAAGCCCCTCGCTGGACTTCTCCACTGAGCTCCGACATCTGCGGGCCTCCTTACCCAGAGCTAATCCAGCTGTTAGGTACTTCAGGGTAATGTGGCTCTTCCCTTGACACACTCTGGGTCCTAGGACGCAAGAGCTTGGTCTCCATCGATCGCAGCTGTTCCCCAGGCCCACTGCCTGGCACAAACAGGTGCCATGAATACGTGCTGGCTCCATGTAGGAGGGCGGCACGACACCCCCCAGGCCCGGGGAGCGACCGGAGTCCCACCGTCTGTGGCAGAGAGGGCGGGGTCCCCAAAACTACTTCTCACCGAAAAGTGGGCGCCCCGCCTCGCTCACCATAACGAAGGGGGTCTAAGATTTTTTTAGATCTACACCAGCCTTCAAAAAGCGCCTGAGCGAACCCTTGACAGTCTGGGTCTGGGAGGGTGGGTGGGCTGAGTTCGGGATCCTCCGCACGGGGGCTCTCTTCATGCAGGCGCGAGTCCGGGGTCCCCACTCGAAGATTCTCCCGAGATGTGGGCTGGGACAGTTCCCTCTAAATTCTAAGGGTCAGTAGGGCCTCCTTACTTTTAGGAGTGACCAGGTGGTGTGACGCCCCTCTCTCCGGGACTCCGGCAAGCCCATTGACAGTCCGGGTTAGAGCTCCGACACGTCGCCCCGCTCGGCGGCTCGCCGCAGCTGCCCTTACCTGCAGCCGGAGGAGGAGCCTTCGCCGTCGCCCGCGCCCCGGCCCGCCCCGCCAGCTCAGCGCGGCGCTGCAGGCCCCGGGACC